TGTCTCTCTCTCTCTCTGTCTCTCTGTCTGTCTCTCTCTCTCTCTCTGTCTCTCTCTCTCTCTGTCTCTCTCTCTCTCTCTGTCTCTCTCTCATCCTCCCCTCCTGATCCCCCTCCTCTCATCAATCACTCAGTTCTCTTCTTCTCTCCCCGCCCCTCTTTCCCTCCTCTCTCTTTCAATCTCCAATTATTTCCAAATCACTCTCTTCCCCCCGATCTCCCTTCTGCGTTCATCCATTAGCTAAGTAGACAGACACTCAAACATCCATTTACCCGTCACGAGTCACGAATAGATAGATAAAAAGACACGCGTAAATACAACGACACCGTCACCCCGAAAGAATGACAAAAACGTAGCAACCCCTCCCACCCCCACCCCTTTAAATAAAGCAATAAAAAAAAACCGCGAAACTACGAAACTTAACTGCAACAAAAGCTAAAACCAAAGTTAATTAAACAAAACAAAACAAAAACAACGGCCGCCGCCCAAGAATTATAACGCAGAAAAAGAAAATAGAAAACACCAACAGAAAACAATCACAAACAAAAACAAAATACGCAGAACAATGTCTACGAACATAAGAAGAGAGTAATACAACACAAAAGGAAAATAATTAAAAGAAAAAAAAACCCATGAAAAAAGAAACGGCAGCAAAAGAAAACTGTAGGAAAAAAAAGAAGAAATTTAAAAAGAACCAACAAGTCAAAAGCCAACAACGAGACAACGTCCGCCAAGAACAGACAGATGCACATAAATAACATTTAAAAAGCATACAAAACAAAACAAAAACAACATATATATAAGTACAGAATAATGAAAAAAAAAATCCACCAAAACACCCCCCCCCAAAAAAAAAACCCAACCCAAACAAAACCCAACAACAACAACAATAAAAAAAAACCCCCAAAAACCAAGCGAACAAAAAAACACAACAAAACAAAATATATTTAAAAAACAAAAACAAGATCTTGGAAACAGGACAATTCATAAAAGGAAATAAAACTAAAACTTCAAAAACTAAAAACCAAAACCAAGAGCCAAGAAAACAGAGAAAACCAAACAGGAGCCGGTGGTATGGG